TCGCTCCATCGTCCGGGAACAAAGCGGGTTTTGTCAGCGAGGCATAGCTGAGACTTGCGTTTGCACCCATCGTGTGCTCGGTGTTCGCTTTGTAACGCGAATCCGGCGCTGCTTTTGGCTTGTGTGGCTCGTGGTTTTTCGGATCAAGGCGATCTCCAGAATGGGCTTTTTAAGCGTTGGTTGTTGCGGTGGAAAGATTGCAGGGAGTGTAAGGAACCCGATGGGTTTCAGAGGTGGGAGGGGATGCTCCAGGAGCTGATCCTCTCCCTGGCAGCCCTGGTGGGTGATCCCTGGCCTGCTGTGCCACGCTGCTGGGGAGAAGCTCAGGGACATCAGAGTTCAGCAGTGGAGCCAAAAGGCTCTTTGTGACACCTGCTTTCCAGTCTGGAGCCCTGAAAGGGGTTGAGAGGCTCCCCAGTTCCTGAGGTCTGGGCTTCTTTATTCCCTCTGAACAGAGGAGCTCTTGTAGAGACCACACACCCGTGTTCCCTAAGTTATGCTGTTGTTTCTTCTCTTACAGGAGACTCAGCAAAGTAAGAACAAAAAAAACCAAAACAGAAGCTAATGTATTTGCACCAACTTGCAGGATAATGCTGGTTTCTGCAAACTAGGGATTATAATAAAGCTGTTTGTGTTTCCTAAACAGGTGGAATCACTTTACCCTTGTCCTGGCTGGGTTGAATTAGATCCTGAAGTGCTATGGAGTCAATTTGTTGGCGTAATAAAAGATGCTGTACACGGTAAGGGCTTAAAGATTGCTAAATTAATTACTTATCAAAAATCAGTAAAGTTAAGTTACTCATATTCTAAGATTTCATTTTACTAGTACTGAAAATTCACTGAGCACAGGTCTACAACATGCTGCAGGGTCTGTTCAATCATTACATAAATAAGGACACTTCAGTTACCTCTTTGCTTTTAGTGGGGCCGTATTAGGATTGAAATAGAAGCAGTGTGAATACTTGATTTGTGCATCAGTCACAGCACCTTGTTGCTCCAGCTTTTTGTATATGCATCCTTCCCCAGTGTCCCTCCAGATGCCTCTGTGTACAAACAGAGAGTACTCTTGTTCCCCTTCCAATGCCCTATTATTCTACTGCCACTTTGTATGTGCAAATACAGTGTATGAGAGAAGGAAAGGATGCTGCAGAGTTGTGTTTGCTTGGTTTGCAACCTGACATTGCCACTTTTTCCATTCAAACTATAAGCAAGTCTTACTATTCAATTTCTGTATTACTGTTCTGTTCTATTTGTACTTTAGCCTAAAATTTCCAAGTACTGCATTCACTAAATACACTCAACTCTCTTTTCTGCCAAACTTCTGATGTGAGTTTTTTCCCCTCTTTTCTGGATGCTGCTCTAACCTTGCTCTTCCTCTCTATAACTCCCACAGCTGTCACATTAATCCAGCTCCAGTGTTTTGGAATCTAGTATGGATCACCTTCTGTGCCATGCTGATGCTGTGAACCTGTCAACTGCACCCCAGCTCGCTTTCCCACAGTGCCCCAGCGTCTTTGCCCTGTGCATCA